TAAATACACAACGCTTTCTTATTGCGGTAATTTACGTTCTTCTAAGCTTAGCGCAGTATACAAAAGCGCCTCACATATTAGCAGGGCCATTCTTAATAAAGTTAGCTTTTTAACTAAAAATATTAAAAATAATAGCCTTTGCGCCCGGGTGATAATAAATATTTAAATTATATATTTAAAATTATTTTACTTACTATACTAATTACTTAAAGTAAGTTTTTATAGTAGTAAGGTACTTAAAACTTTTATAATTAGTAATAACTTTAATTATAGTACTATTTTTAAAGTGGTAATTTTATTAGTATAATACCTTTTTAATTATAAAAAGCTTTTTTTCCTGTGTTAGGTAATTTTTTTTAGTATTATTAAGTTTATAATTATTATAAGTAATAAAATATTAATATTCCTAATTTTTTCACTAGCTTAGAACCATGCTAATTACCTACTTTAAAATATTTATTTTAATCCTAAAGGGTTTATATAGCTTTATAATCTTAAGTATTAAAGTATTAGTTAACACTTTTTTTAGGGTAATAAATATAAGTTTATATTAAATATTTTATTATATTATATAATACTTTCTTTTTTACTTAGTAATATTTTTTCTAAAAAAGTTTATATAATAGTATAGTAATTTTAATAAAATTTTTAATATATTTTTAATAATACATGGCAAGGCCCAGGAATTACTAGATTTTATAAATATTTTAAGGTTTTAGTTAATTTTAAAGAATATTTAACTTTACTAGCATGGGTTAAATATATTTATACCTAATAATATAATTATAAAACTTTAATTTTTTTATAATAAAAATATACTTAAAGCCTTTAGTAAATAGCTTATTATTTTTAAAAGCTATTATAATTTAGTAAAGGTGTTTTTAATACTTTTTAATAAAGTTAAAAAAATAAGAATATTATTAAAGTATATAATATAAGATTTTTTTATATAAAGGGCAAAAACTTAATTTATTAATATTTAAAAGGTGGCTAGGGCGTTGCTTAGCCTAAATAATATTATTAAAAATTTATATTTTTCAAAAATAGTATTAAAAACTTTTTTTAAATTAATACCTTGCCTATCCGCACCTGCTAATATTTTTTAAAAAAAAGGTTAATTTTAAAAAAATATTAAGTAAGTTTTATAAGGTTATCAAGATTTCTAATGCGGGGGAGTAAATAACTATTTTTAATAATTTTTTAATTTAATAATTAGTAATTAATATATATACGCTATTTACCGCTAGGCTTTAAAATAAAAATAACTAAAAAATTTTAAGGGCTAGTAAAAATATAAATAATACCCTTTTTTAAAAGCTTAGTAAATTACTTTTTTAACTTTTTAAGTTTTTTCTAAAAAAGTGGATAAAAGGATTAGTTAATAAAAAAATTATTTATATTAATATTATAAATTATATTTTATTTTAAAGGGAAAGTTAGCAGGAGTTCTTTTTTAAATTAATTTATAAATTTTTAAGTAATTTTTTTTAGCTAATTTAAATATTTTAAATTTTTTTTATACCCTTATCCTTATTAAAATTAAGATAAATAATTAAAAAAAAGGCCTACTAGGTTTACTTTTATAATAAGTGCTTGGCTTACTTTACTAATATAATTTTTAAAAAAGTTTAAATACTACTAATATTAGGTTAAGTTTAAATAAGCTTAATAATAAAAAGGCGTTTTTTATTAATAGCAGGAAGATATATTTTATTAATATTAAAATTTACTTTTAAAAGGTATTTATAAAGCTAGTTCTTCCCTGGGATAATATTATATTTTAAAATATTTATTTTTTATAAATAATAAATATATTTTTAACTACTAAGCGCGAGTGGGACTTAAAAGCTTTTATATACTTTTATTTATTATTTATTAACTATAATAACTTTAAGTTTATTAAGCAAGCCCTTTACCTTATATAATTATAGTAGGTATAAATATTTTTTATTAATAAAAAATTATTTTATACCTGTATTAATAAGGACTTAAAAGTGCTTAATATTAAAAAGGTTAGTATTAATACTTACCTAGTATTATAAAAGATTTTTATTAATAATATATAGCTTAATTTTAATAACTTAAAAAGTAAATAATATTATATAAGGCTTATGGTCCTCCTGCTTTAAATTTTTAAAAAATTTTTTAAAAAGGTTAATAATAATAAAAAAATATATTTAAAAGCCTTTATTATTTTAATTATTAATACTTTTAAATTTAGCAGCTAGTCCTATTTTTTTAAACAAGACGGCTTAAAATAATTAAGGTAAAGGTTCTTATTATTATTATAATTAAAATAAAGGCGGTTTTAAGTATACTATTTTTTTAATTAATATTATTAGGGTTTAAATTAGTATTAAGTATAAAAGTAAATTAAAAATTTTATACTTTTTTTTAATTATCCCTAGTTAATAAGTTAATAGCCTTAATTATAGCCTTTAGGTATAAGATTTTTAGCTAGGGCTTTAATTAAAGTAGTTTTAATAATATTTAAGTTTATAATATTTAGGTTATAGTAGCTAAATTTATTATTAAAATTAAAATTATATAAAAAGAAATAATTATTAAAGCCTTTTTAAATAATTTTTTTTATATAAAAGCTTTATTTATATAAGGTAAAGCGCTTGATTATTATTTTAAAAATATTAAAATAATTATAGTTATAAGCTTATTTAGCTTAAAGTTTAGGTTTAGCCTTATTAATAAAGTTTATAATTTAAACCTTTATAAATACTAGGTGTTTAAGTAAGCTAATAATAACTTAAAAGTAGTTATTATAGCTTTATATTTTAGTATTATTTTAAGCTATATTTTAATAATAAAAATAATATTTTTAGGTATTAAAATACTTTTTAAAGTTTTAATAAACTTAAGCTTTAAAGTGATTAAAAGTAAAAATTTATTTAGGTACTATTTTTTAGTTTTTTTAAAACTAGCAAGTATTTTAGTGCTTTTTAGCCTGGCTAGTAAAAAAGTTAGTAATAACTAAAACTTTTTTATACTTATTAAAGTTTTAGCTGTAAAAAATATATTTATTATAAAAATAGTAATTTATATTTTAAATTTATATTTTAGCTATATTTAAGTTAATACAGCCTTTATACTTAGTAATACTCTTAAAATTAAAAATTTTATAAATAATTTATTTTTTATTAAATAGCTAGCCTTGGGCGTTTTTTTAGCGCTTATAAAATAAATTATTTAAAATAATAAATTAAATGAATAGCCCTTAGGTTTTTTTATTTTAGCTAGTTTATTTTTAAAAAAACTTAACCTTTATATATTATAAGTTATACTACACGATAACCATGGGGTTAATAGGGTTAATTAGGTTTATAAAATATTTTATAATAATTAGTTAATTAAAGTTAAATAAAATACTAAAAAAAAGTTTTAATAAATTAAAAATTAAATAAAAAACTAGTTAAAGTAATTAATATTTTTTTTTATTTTTTTTAGTAATTTTTATAATATAAGTATTACCCTTATTTAACACCCTTAATTATTACCCTTGCTTTAAAAAGCTAGTAATAATAATATTTATTATAAAATTTTTTTATATAACTAGGGTTAAGTTACTAGTTAAAAAACCATTAAATTTCTTTATTTAAACCCTTGGTATTATTAATTATAAAAAAAATCCTAGCTACCTTACTACCCAAGTGTAAAGTTTTTTAAAATAATAACTAAATAAATATCCCTTGCTAGCGCTAATAAAAAGAGTTTTTAAATTAAGTAATTATTAATTATTTTTATTAATATTTTTAGTATAGCTCTTAGGCCCCTTAAAAATTTTTTAAGCTTTAATTTTTTTTATTAAAAATATACAGGCGGTGTTAAGTAATTTATATTATTAATAAGCCTTGTTATAAATATATTATTAAATAATTTTAATAATTAGGTATTATAATTACCTTATTATTATATTTAATTAAATCTTATAATATTAAAAAAGCTTATTAATTAAATAACTAAAAATATATTATTAAATATAATAATACTAGTGCTAGGGATTACCTAGCTAATAAGGCTAGGTAATTAAAAAAAATATATAAAAAAAAACTAAATATAAAATTATTTAAAATTTTTTTATTAAGGCCTTTAAGCGCTTTATATAACTTTTATTTAGGGTAATAAGGCCTTAATATTATTTCTTAAGGCTATTAATATCCCTAGGCCTTGGCATCGCCACGGCCGATAAAGTGGCCTAAGGCATTAACACCAGCAATAAAACCATAAAATTATAGTTAAAAATATTTTAAAAGCACTTTAAAATAACTTTAAGAATAAATTTTTAAAAGTATATTTATTAAGTTTGTTAAGGTATACTAGTATATTAATTTATATATAATTTTTTATATAAATTAATATACTAACACCCGCGGGCATTTTATTAAATTTTTTATAAATTTAATATTAATTTATAAATAAAAAACGCGTTTACTACGCCTTAAAATAACTTTAAAATAAGTTTTTAAAGATTTTTATTATTAAATTTACTAATAAGGTATAGGTATATTAATTTATATAAAAAAGCTTATATAAATTAATATACCTATATTTTAATATATAATTTAATAATTTTAAAGTAAGTACACCTGCAAGGCTAGCATTTAGCTTTATATATTATTTATTATATAAACTTAAATAACTTAATTACACGGGCACGTGCGTCACAAAAAAATAATTTTATATTAAAAGCGTTGGCAGTATACACGCTCCCCTTATGGTCAAGTCCCGCCAGGCTAATAGTCTATATATAATATAGCTAAATTTTAGGGTTTTTGCACCTTTTTATAGTATTTTATAAAATAAAATATGTTTATCTTACAGCTAGCACACGCTAAGTAGAGGGCCAAGAATTCAAAACTTGGCTTCCGTGGTGGGTACATAGGGCTAGGCTGCGACTGCTGCCTGGGTTTGCTTGGCCAAGGCATTGGCCCCTTAAAGGCTCCAGAACCTTTGAGCAAGACCGTAGCCATCAACATCAACCATCAACCATGGCCACTCTGACGAGCCTCCCCCTTGACATCCAGCAGCACATCATCTCCTATCTCCTCTCCAATCGCGATGTTGCTGCGCTCTCGCTCCAATCACGGACTTTTCATCAGCTTTGTGACATGCAGACCCGTCGCAAATATCACAAGATCCGCATCGCCCCAAATACTGGCTCTCTTGACAGAGCCTTCAATCTCCTACTGGATATTTTGCGACGACCAAGCTTAGGCCGTTATGTTCGCCAAATTAAGGTCCATGCTCGCCTACCAATGCATGTGGAGTATATGCAGCGACAATCGCAGCGAGACATCGGCAGCCAGGACGAGCAACTGTTGCGAAGCGCTGTCGAAAGAGCCGGCTTTACAGCTGAGGAAGATAGGATAGTCAATATGCTAATGCAGCGGATGACCTCCTATAAGTTTGTGTCGCTCTTCTCCAAGTGAGGCTCCTTGCCCATGATACCGGAATCTTGCTAACATTGCCTAGGCAGTCGGAAACACGAGGGGACGAAACCTGCCTGCCGCAAGCTCTTGCCGCCATCTTGATCACTGTATCGCCATACCTTGTCTCCATGGCGTTGCCCCCAGTGGGCGGCTCTGACGATGTTCAATACCCTCTGAACCAGCTCCTCCGCCGAGTCAGCGCAGGCCCCAAGACAAACATCCCATACTTGCAAAACCTCCGCGAGATATACATTATCAACGAGCCCGAGCCTCTTCTCGATGACGAGCGCTTTTACTTCAGGATGGATTTCTTTGAGCCACTTACTGCAATCGGGGGTCTCCCGGCCATCGAGACTGTAGCAACAGATGCTCTCGAGGAGGACGACGGAGAAGTGAATGACCTTGACGTCGCCTCCTCAAATATCAGCAAGATCAACATCCAGCACTCCTCGGTCAGCTCATCGTACTTGGTCTCGCTCATCTGTTCGTGCAAAGCCTTAAAGGTCTTGCGCTTCTCGGTTGGAGGCCGCGCAACGAATGATGGGGGCTATCCATTGTTCTTTCACACCACTGTTATGCGAGCACTCTTGCTTCATAGAAGGACATTGGAGGACGTGGACCTGGACGTCGAATCGTACATCTTCCACTTCATGTGCGACCTTCAGCCGAGGACGGTAGGATGCCTCTGCGTTAGATACGAACCAAGAGAATATGAGGGCACCGACCGGACACCCCCAATGTGCCTGGCGGAGCAGAATGGCTCCCTGAAGGACTTGATCGGTCTAAAGCGTCTGAGCATTGGCATCAAGTTTCTGCTATGTTTCGTGAGGGGGATTGACCTGGAGACGGATGCGAGTACGGGGAGCATGATTGTGGACTGCCTGCCACCGCATCTGACATATCTTTGTATCCGAGGGTATAAAAGGGGACAGCACGCAGGGCAGGATGCTTTTATCGATGAGCTGTTGCAGGCTGTACACCAGGGGCGCCTGGATTTGGAGCTTCGGGGAGTGGATGAGACGATTCCGCATGGCGAGGATGTAGACGACCCCGACCGGGACACGCATCTATTGTGGAAGCCGCCGGTGGATGCATCAGAGAGCGAGTGAGCTGGTGTATCACACATTGTATACTCGGTACCCGTTTCCATTGTAGCATAAGGCTTAGGTTGTTTGCACTTGGAGATCATTATCAGCGCTGTAACTCAAACGCATTATCCGGTCCGGCGTACAATGATTAGGCTGTAACAGAGCAGTGCTCCTTGGGCTTATATTTTGTTCTATCCAACCTTGCCTTCACAGGCGCTAGATGCATGATCGCCGAGCACACCATCGGCCTGTATAGCATCACAGTGGGCCCCGATCGCGCCATGTCCCAGATCCAATCCCCCAAACCACCAATTTATTGGTCGACATCCCATTAGACTTTGTCCGTGCATCTCTGGCATAATATCGGCCGGGTCCCTAAACAAACAAGCTCTTCACCGGAGGCAAGACCGCCACTGATGTTCAGCCATGCCTGCCATCAACTTGGGCTGCGGCTAAGCACCTCATCGATTGCACTGATCAGGTCATTGTGGATTAGATCGTGCTCATTCTCTCTGATGCCAGGCTCCGTTCCAGCACATTTAAGCATATTTGAGCCCTGCTCTCATGGTCTCGGTGCGGTCTCTCTCTTCCTGGCCCTTCACTAGAACAGTACCACTTTTGCATCGCCATGGCAGATACAACGGTTCAGCCGCCGCTGTCCCAGGCGGTTGGCTACATTGTCGTCGTGCTCATCGGAGCCATCATTGCCTTGGGTAGGATAATATTCCATGAATCCGAAATTCAAGGCTGACGGGGAATAGTGATGATGCTGGTCACCAATCTCCTCAAGAAGACCACTGGGGAGGACAACAAGAAGACTGAGATGTTCGCCTGCACACTCTTTCCATCTTCTATCGTTAGTGTTGATGTCTAGCAGGTTTATGACTGCCAACCGAACTGTTCGAACCGGCCTCACTGCGTCTGCGGTTATCTCTGTTGGTCTTACAGTCCTGATCCATCTTATCCCCATCTGATAGTGTCTCCAGTCCTGGCTATGGTCAACTCAGCTGCTCGGCTCGTCCTTTACCGGCTATGACTACGGTGTCTCCGGGCCCTTCTGGTTTGCTGCTGGCTGTAGCCCGATGATTGTCTTCTTTGCTGTGGTGGGAATTTCGTGCAAGCGAAAAATCCCAGAAGCCCATACCTCCCTCGAAGTGGTCCGCATTCGATATGGTATCCTTTGCACTTCTATATATTCAAAAGCTCTTTGTATTAACGTGTGTAGGCCATATTGCGCACGTTGTCTTCATGGTTCTGTGCCTGGTGAACAACATCTTTGCCAGTGCCAACATGCTTCTGGGCGCATCTGCTGTGATTTCTGCAATGTATGCTCCTCGACAGACATAACCTAATGAAATTAGCTGACTCTACAAGCACTGGTATGCACATCATCGCAGCCACGTTTTTGCTGCCGGTCGGGGTGACCGTCTATACATTCGTGGGAGGCATCAAAGCAACGCGAGTTCACTTCTCATCTTTTTGGGGCTTGGTTACTGATGCCCTGCAGTTTCTTGACCGACTATTTCCACACGACAATCATCCTGATCATTGCCTGCTACTTCTCTGTCAAGGCCTTTGAGTCCGACCAGATCGGCTCTATTGGGAATCTGTACGAGCTTCTCCAGGCTGCAGCCCTACGGCATCCGGTCTCTGGGAACCAGGACGGAACGTACTTGACCATGACCTCCAAGGATGTAAGCTAGTCTGTCCTAACAAGCTGGCATCGGAATATTAACCTCTGCTAGGGCATCCTCTTCGGCATTCTGCACACCTGCTCCAACTTTGGTCTTGTGATCGTAAGACAACCCTGCCGCCGTGACTAGGATATACTAACTCTCGTAGATGGACACCAGCTACTTCATCAAGGCATTCTCGGCCTCTCCCAGAGCCGTTGTCCCTGGATACGCGATTGGAGGCGCCATGTACTTCTCCATTCCCTGGGCGCTGGGTACGGTGATGAGCTCGGTCGCCCTCGGACTGGAGAACCAGCCCAACTTTCCTACCTACCCTCGCGTGAGTATACCGTCCATCCATCCCAGAGCTCGCTAACGAACATGAACTACAGCGGATGACTTCGTCGGAGGTCAGTAGTGGACTTGTTCTCCCCTATGCCGCCATGACCATCGCTGGCAAGGGAGGCGCCGCTGCAGTGCTGCTGATGATCTTCATGGCTGTGACCTCCACCCTGTCCGCGCAGGTGATCGCCGTCAGCTCCATCCTCAGTTTCGACGTCTATCGTGAGTACTTCAAGCGCACTGCCACCGACCGAGATGTGATCCATGCCAGCCACCTCGGCGTCATCTTCTTCGCGGCCTTTTGCGCTGGGTTCAGCACCATGCTGCACTATGTCGGTGTCGACCTTGGCTGGACTCTGTACATGCTTGGTGAGCCATCTTCCATCATGATCAATACCTCAGTGCCTGACCATAATCAATATAGGCGTTGTCACCTGCCCCGGCATCTTCCCCATGGTCTTCACCGTGCTTTGGCGCCGACAAAGCAAAGCAGCCGCCATCTTGTCACCGATCCTGGGCCTAGCAACTGGTCTTGCTGTCTGGCTGACCACTTCTGGTCATTTTGGAGGCGAAGTCACGGTCGCGACCACGGGCCAAGTCTTGCCCTGTGTATACGGCACGGTCGCATCCGCCTTCTCACCCATCCTGTACTCGGTTGTGATTACGCTCGTGCGCCCGCAGGATTTTGACTGGAACGACTTCAAGAAGGAAAGGTTATCCCTGGAGAAGGTGGAGGGTGATCTGACGGCGGTCCACCATGGCTCGCGCCTAGCCACTGCAACAGGGAGCATTGAAGACGGCGGCGTGCGCAGTGCTGCCGTGGACGCACGGGAGCTGAAGCGATGGGGCCGCATCGCCGCGTTCTGGGCTGCAGCGACATTCCTGGGACATTGGGTGTTGTGGCCTCTGCCAATGTACGGTTCCCACTATGTCTTTGGAAAGGGCTTCTACATCGCCTGGGTGGTTGTCGGCATCGTCTGGCTCTGGGCCACTACACTCCTCGCCACGCTTTATCCCATCTTCGACGGCGGGTACCAGCAGATTCGGCAGGTTTATCGGGGCCTTCGTGGGAAGCAAGCCTCGACTGATGCTGGGACGTCTCAAGGAGGATATATGGAAGGTTCGGTGGAGGACGTGCAGGGGAAGCAAGACAAGGCTTGATTCAGTCAACCCACTGGCATAGGAAGGGTGGATTATCATAATCTAGACGATGATCTCTGACTTGCGATATAGCAACCACTAAGCAATAACACGGGGGCCAAGCTAGTCCGCGCAATCCTCCCTATATTTGCAGTCGTTTAGTAGTTATAGTTCCATCGCTTTCTTAGTACAACCCTGAACGGCAGATCAGAACGCCAGAGCCATTCCTCCACCTTCAACCCATCGACCAACATGCCATCCAGAAGCTGCACCGCGAAGTCCGCCACACAGAGGTTTAATAGTGGTTCTACAAGGGGCATTGCATCGAGACCGAGGCTACGCACCCACGAGGGGCCGAACGACACGTGCAAGCTCCGTAGACCGGACATTCTCTTCAACACTGCACTTGCTCGCTTCCATGTGGCAAGTTCGGAGTCTGAGAGAGGGACGTAGGCTCGGAGAGTCCGAATAGACGCGAGTCTGCCTGGGGCCATAGCCTGCGGGAGTACATTCAACGTGCGGTGGCTGGCATGGAATGTATTCTGTTCAAACAGGAGCTGGACGGCTTCGGTGTAGCTAAATCATCAGTTCTTGCTTGAGCGCGATGGCAATGTGGCTTACATCCGTCGGCAGCTACACAGCAGCCCTAAGACCGCGTACTGCATGTCGCTGTCCGCACAGGGGGTTCTTTCTGGGAGGAAATGGTCGAAGCCCGCGTCGAAGCCGTCGTAGATATCGATCGCCGTGCTGTCTCCGACTCGACACCGGCTGACATGCACCCTGCCCTCACTCCTCCAGATATGCAGATTCGGAACGCGCAGGACCTCCAAATAGACGATGTCCCTTATTTCACGGGGGCACCTGAAGAGCCACGCCTGAGCCTGACTGTCCGTTCTCCCAGCACCACTATCCGACTCTGAAATAGTCAGCGAGCGACGATGACTAGCGCTGAAGGATCTTGGGGTCTGCTGCTCTCTGTACTCCGTGATGGGCCTAGCAATTTGCTTGAGCTTGTTCCTGATTTTCTGCTGGACCGATCCGTTGCGGAGGCCTGTCCAGATCTCGCTGGGGCCAACAATGACGTATAGGCAAATAGCTTGTACCGTCGTGAGCGGAGGATCCATCTTATGGACGGGTTACACTTTGAATGGCTTGATTCTAAGACAGATGTCGATGAAGATGCAGGTGAGGTGCGACCGTTGCCAAGTGATGCCTACGCAGCCACCTCCGCTGTCAGTGCGCATTAATTACTAGGATGTGCACGGCCTCGGGCCCATATTGATATGTATTGCTAGCGCCGCATGCTGGCAGGGTCTAGCCTATCGATGCTAATTTCGTAGGGAAGTAAGGATACAATAAGTGTCAAGAACCTTTTCTGCTTGTTTCTGAACTCGCAACAGTGAGCATCACGACGATATCATAGAGGCCGAACCCTCTTGCAGGCTTATTACTTAGCATACTGTGTATAAAGAGCAGTGCACAGCGTGGTGATCAACACTGCTCTCGACTGCGAGGCAAGTTTGAATGGACCAGGCATCCTTGCGGACTTCCAGTTAGGGCTATGCATGATGCCGGGAACGAGGCCCTCCGATTTGCTGTGCTGGTTGTCCGGGCCTGCATATGACGTCTCGCGAAGCTTGTCGATCCTGATTACAGGCATTTCCAATCAACCGAGCCCCTTGATCCAAGAAACCGACCATCTCGCTCGTTTACATTGCATCGCGATTGGACCCAGCCCTGCCTGGCCCCGGGAACGCCAGCTTCCGAGCGGCTGCAGTTTGCGGGGGAGACGCTGATTGGTCGGTGCCTGGTATACCTGTCCAGCCTCTGGACGCAGTATACCCCTGCTGTTATTGAATCGACATGCAGCAGCTTGAAGATCAGCACGGAAGAGCAGCATCCGAGAACGAGAACGAGAGTCGCAGTATAAGTGATAGCAGGGGTGTAGCACGCTATATAATCACTGCTCATCCTCCATCAGTCATGGCTCTCCACCTTCAACTACTCTTCCAAACCACAAGATGAAGTTCTCCTGCATTGCCCTCGCCGGTGCTGTTCTGCAGCTCGCTCATGCCGGTCCTGTCAACAAGCGTGCCGAAGGGGTCACCGATGGTATGTTGTCCTCATACTTTTGACCACTGGTCCTAATCGACTTGACAGCCGACATCCTCAACTATGCCCTCACCCTCGAGCATCTCGAAGCCAGTTTCTACGAGCAAGGCTTGAGCAACTACACTAAGCAGGACTTTCTCGATGCCGGGATGACCGAGTCCTTCTACAACAACCTCATGTCCGTCGCCATGGACGAGAAGGCCCACGAGGACTTCCTCACCCAGGCCCTGGCCCGTACGTTGCTCTCCAGCTCATACTTTCCAAATAGTGAAAATACTCATTCATGCACAGAGGCTGGAGCAAAGCCCGTCGAGCGCTGCACCTACGCCTTCCCCTCAACCGATGTCAAATCTTTCCTTGCCCTGGGCACCATCCTCGAAGGCGTCGGCGTCAGTGCCTACCTCGGCGCCGCTGCCTCCATCATGGACAAGGCCTACCTCACTGCCGCCGGTAGCATCCTCACCGTTGAGGCCCGACACAGCGCTTACCTCCGGGCCGCCCTGGGCGAGTCTCCTTCCCCGCAACCCTTCGACAACCCGCTTGACTTTAACGAGGTGTACACCGTTGCCTCGCCTTTCATTGCTTCGTGCCCCTCCAGCAATGCCGCGCTCCCGGTCAAGGCCTTCCCCAGTCTGACGATGAGCAGCATGAATGCTGTTTCTGCTGGACAACAGGTTGAGCTCACTGCGGGCGAGGGGTTTACCAGCATGAACACGACTGATCTCCACGCCGCGTTCATCACCGTGACAGGTCCGGTCTGGGCCAAGGCCATGCCTGCGGGTGAAGGCAAGTGGACCGTCACTGTTCCAATGGGCGTTGCAGGCCAGAGCTACGTGGTTCTCACCAACGGCGACAAGCAAGCGACCGACGACAACATTGTGGCAGGGCCTGCTATCATCGAGGTAAACTGAGTATGCTCTCAAAGTCAGCTTGGGGAAGAATTCTAACATGCTGGAAATAGATAAGCCCGATGCGCATGTCGATGTCCATGTCCGGTAGTGCTATGCCCGCTCCGACCATGTCCTGGGCTATGGGCGCTGGTTCTGTTTCTTGGAGCTTGATGGCGTCCATGACTGCGTCTCCTACCCCGTCTGCACCGGTGTTTACTGGAGCTGCAGGCTCAGTTACCGCGAGCGTTGGAGGCGTTGTTGGTGCTGTTGCGGCTGTTGCTGGCTTCTTTCTGTAGGGAGTTCTTGAGGGTTGGGATTTGTTCAAGGAACGGGTTATCGTAAAGGTTTATTTGTATCTAATGTCAATTGGATCTTCATAGGTCTATCTTCACTGCTGTACCGTACCATCTCTAATCCTCTCCTATGTTTGTGTAATTCGATGTCTCATTCGAACGGTCATTTTAAAGGCGAAGACCAAGGATATCTGGAATATGGACGAACAGCGAGCAGAACACCTGGCCGTGGGTTGCCACAGTGCCAACGCGCCAATCCTGAGCCACGAAATACCAACAGCTGTGTTTCATGAATTCTAGACCAAGCCTGCATGCCGAGCATTTATTGAAAACCGGGTTTACTGATACCGATTGTTTGCTTGGGGGTCTAGGTGGAACCAACAACAAACGTCCTCGTAAACCAAGGCGGATGGTAGAGCCGCCGCTGCCGCCGAGATTGTGATGTGACTCTGACTCTTGGTCCCCATGGCGGCTTGACACGTAGAATCTGTTGGTAAGGCTGTAGATAAGCCGAGAGATGTCGTGCAGGTGCAGTCTCGTCGATGGGGTGGCGACCGGGATAAGCGACAGCGCAGCCGTGCCACCTTCTCGTCTTCCGTGATATCCAGCGAATGACCAACCGGTTGGTTGGTCACAGCAAGGAGGGCGAACACCGGTTTCGATTGGGTCCAGGGCCACAGAATGGGGCCAAGTGTCAACACCTATGGATGGCGCAGCACTACACCGCAGTGTAATCTGACTCAGGCGAGATAAGAGAACTGCAGGATTGAATTGCTTTTAATGGCCAGATAAGAAACATGACTCGTCTCGTCTGCCATTGCTGGGAGCCTGGGATCCGTTTATTCCGAGGCGGGCGGCGATCCATGCAGGCAGCTGCGCCGCATGCCAGGCCTGCAGGCGCAGGGTTGGTGCAGGGGTTTGATAACGCCCACGGGCCGTGCGTCAGCAAACTGCGCGGGCCGGTCCATGTTGCTTGCAGCTGCATTGTCGGAGGTGTTCAGGCCATCCTGGGTTGGCTCAGGTCATCCTGGGTCTGGTCTGTCTTGAATCCCTGCAGTGAGCACACCAATCTGCCGCATTCACTCGCCAGTAGCTCGGATTGCAATTTCTCAGTGCCTCCTTTGACCACATTGAGGATCCAGGGTCAAGTGCGGGTGCGGTCCTTCTTAGGTTGGTTGAGATATTACGAAGGCGTGATGTTTGGCAGTGTACTTCCAAGTTGTATTCCATTCAGAAAGAGATGCAGAGCCCGTCTGTGACCTCTATAGTCTAGCTAATTCGTAAGAACACGTCCTTCTGTCACGTTTGGATGCCAACGATATCCGACGCCCAGAGGATCGACCCCAGGCGCTCGGGACCCAGGAGCTGCGAGATCTCCTTGACCAGCCGACTGCCCCAGTCGCCCATCCACCATCGGTCTCGGAGGTGGTGCAGCACCGCACAGTAATGGGCAAAGATGATCAGAGCCAATGGGCGCTTCTCGCGGACAAGCTCCAGGTATCGAGAGGGGAGGCGGAAGAGCCACCGGAGGGCGATCATGGTCGGTTCGCCCCCTTTGCTGAGCATCTCCAAGGATCGGTCGAGCTTGGTGATGGCGTCATCATAGACCGCGGTCTCATGCGAAGAATCCTTCTTCGCAGTGGCGTTGTTGAGGTTGCGCATGGAGAGGATGGTCAGGGTGTACGTGGCCGGCAGCTGGTGGTAGGGGTCGCTGCGGGTGAAGAGGCCATTGAGCTCGCCCTTTTCGACAATCTCGATCATTTCTGTGCTCGAGGATAATCTCCGCACACAGCTGAACATGTTGAGCAGCTTCTCAAGGGACGGAGATGCAGACGGAGTCAAGGATCCGTGGTTGTTTCTCTGATGCGCACTCAGGCGGAACCCGTCTTCGGCCAGCGAAGCAGAGGCCAGAGTGCACATGAACAGGATGCTGGCTGTTGAGAATGCCGCATCGGACCTGGATTGCGAAAGCGATTCGTCCATCCTGGGAAACTGGTCGACGGCCTGGGAATAGTGCCTATCCGCGTCGTCGAAATGATCCCTTCGTTGGGCTGATCCAGCCTCGTTGGCGATCGCAAGTTGCATCGCAGAGAGGGCGAGAGTGCTATGGTGTAGAGCCGGGCAACCGCGCGACTCGCGTTGGATGATGGCCTGCCATGACTGGTCCTTGCTCTTGCTGTGCGTCAGGGTTCGCTCCGTCGAGGAGCGCCAGTTGTCCGACAGCCGCATCTCGCCCAGCCTTGGTTCCTCGACGTGACACGTCTCTGGCGTATCAGCGCGCGCATCACTTTTGAAGCCGGAGGACGAGCTGGACTGGGTGGACTGGGAGGAGGTGGAACTGGCGTTGGACTGGCGGTGGTGGATGGAGGGAGGGGACGGGGAGGAGTGGAGGGGGGAGTCGAAGGGAGCAGCAGGCTTGGGCCTGTAGGGGCTTTGCTTCTGGTCACGATAGCGACATGAGATGCGCTGTGACTTGCATTCGTCGCACTGCGGACGCGCCTTGGAGCACTGGGTCGGTTAGCAGCGATACGCGGATACGCACAGAGACCGACATACCTCCATCTGGCCCTCGGTGCAGGGAGCGCATTCGATCGGAGCCTTGCGAAGTCGTCGCTGAGCAGGCATAGCAGCATCTGGAGCTGGAGCAGTCGCGACGGGGTCTGGCCTGCGATCTAAGCTGGCATCGACATGGTCTTAAAGGGGATCATGTCTTGACCGGGGTTGAGGTGCAGTCGAGAATCAGAATCAGAATCAGAATCACAGGGACAGGGACACTGGAATTTGGAAACCAGTCTCAGCGATGCAACGCATGTCGAAGAGAGGACAGGGCAGGGGCCGCAGGGCAGGCAGGAAAGGGGGGTGCTCGTCCAAGGCGCTGATCAGTGGGACCGTGCCCAAACAAGTAAGACACTTGGCTTGCCACGCGCTTAATGGGCTTGTTCCCATGGTAGGATAATAATAATAATCATAATAATACTTGGCTCAGGAGAAATCACTGCGCCGCAGCTTGGCCGGTGGCCGAGCGCAGCCCGAGAGTGGGCTGCGCGCAGCTGCATGGCTGCAGGGACACGTCCGATGCTGGATGACCTGTCCAGTGCAAGTGTCAGACAGACGGAATCGACCGTGAGCGTTGTGTATCGATTTCTGTACGGTCGCACAGGGGCATTGTGTGAAACGTCAAAGCAAGCAACAATCACACCCCTGCCCGATCGGATCGCTGCGAAACATCGGAGATGCGATCGATGGACTAGCCAAGGCGAACTGCACCTGCAAAACTCTCGTAACACTCTAATAACCACGGTGGCGTGCGCTATTGGAATAGGACCAGAGTGTCGGGGCAACCCTAGCCCAACACGGGAAATGCACCGCACTCTGGGTCCTCTCCACCAATGACACAGTTCAGCCCGTGGAGCAGTCTGCAGCTAATGACGAGTTTTTTGAACTCAAAACAATCTGGAATCCGCTGCCGGGGATGCCGTATGCCGGATGCCACTGCCTGGGAACGTGGCGCCCATGCTCCTTCCCAAGTTCCTCGAACTCTGCTGCTCGCTTGCAGGTTCTGCAGCCCCGGAGCTCCTACAGCTCGAACTCTCGAGCTGGACAAAGTTGTCTGCCATTGGTCTGACTGGTCTCTGCCATTGGCCTGAGTGGTCTCTGCTCCGCGCTGCCGACATCCAACCTTGGTTTGCCAGGGGAACCATCCCACCGTTGCAACCATTGATCGCACTCCGAACCAGCATCTCTCGCGCCCTCATGGCCGTCGCTCTTCGCACTCCATAATAATACTATCGTTCATTCCAGCCCAAGGAGCATGAGGGCAGCTCCGGGTATTTGAGCCCAGCACGGCCCCAACTGGCGATGATCCTCCACAGATCGTCGTCGTAACACAGATCTTCTATCCATTCGTCCGGCTTCCTCTTTGGGGTCCCTCCTCAGCAATCATGCTGCTGGACATCAATGTCTCTCTTTTATCTGTCACCGGCATCCTGTGCACCCTCCTTTGCCTCATCGTCAAGCTGTTCGAGACCTCTCCGGTCCCCAAGGACATCCCATGGATTCTGAAGAAGCAGAACTTCCTGCGCCGCGCCACCGAGCGCTTCATCGGTGTCAATCCCATTACCTTCATCCAGGAGGGCTATGAGATGGTCAGTATTGTTCTACGTTGCATTTCCTGTGTTAGTGCTGACGCCCTCTAGTACTCGAAGAACCAGCAGCCTTTCGTCATGCCCAGCGTCAACGAGGGCGACGAAGTAGTCCTGCCCAAAGAACACTCCAACCTGGTCCTCTTTGCCAAAGAGTCCGAGTACAGCTTCAAGGCCCACATCTCCGAGTTCTTCCAGCTCAAGTACACCAGCTGGCCCCTCGCCTTCGCCGAAAAGTACGACTTCTTCGTCAAGCTCGTCAGCAAAGACCTGACCGAAACCCTCAAGTCCGATGCCGTCGCCGATGCCCTCGCCTCCGAAGCCCGCGCCTGTCTGTCGGATATCTGGGGCGAGGACGAGGAGAACTGGGTGGAGGTGTCGCTGTACTCGGCCATGGAAAAGTCCGCTGCTCGGTTGGTCAATGTCCTCGCGATTGGACCGGGGAATAGCCACGATACAAGTCTTCTCAATGCCATGACCAATTGCTCCAACGCCATTGTCCTGGGGTCCAACGTCATCAAAGCCTTTCCTTCATTCCTGCATTGGTACGGCCTCCGTCCAACCTGCTCGCCAGTGAGCTAACCATCCCAGTATCGTCGGTCCCGTTGTCGGCCTCGTCAATCGGTGGCAGGAGCATGTCTTCCATACGCGGATGAAGCCTCTCATCGAAGCCAGAATCAAGCAGCAACGCGAGGCCCCAGATGAGGCCGCGTTGCAGGCAAAGCTCAAGGCCAACGTAAGTCTACCTCACCTCCATCCAACGGACGGCTCTAACATGCTGCAGGGCAACCTCCTCGACATGCTCATCAACACTGGGCTCCGCAGCAAGTGGCCGGTCGAAGTCGATACAATGTGGCTGGCGTACCGAATCTTCATGATCAACTTCCCCGGCGTCCATACCAGCGGCATCTCTGCCACCAGTGCTCTGCTCGACATCCTCAGTTACTCCGGCGAAGAGGGCCTTATCGGCTTGCTTCAAGATGAAGTCCAAAGGATCGCCGCCGGTTCTTCTGGCAAGTGGACTGCCGCCGAGTTGGAACAGGCTTCACTACTTGACAGTGCCATCAAGGAGAGTCTCCGGTTCAACGGCATCAATGCTCTCTCTCCCACCCGAATGGTATGCTCCATTGAATGCTCATCAGAGTCACATACTTACTCCCACCAGGTCGTTGCGCCAAAGGGTGCCACGCTCCCTAACGGTCTGTTCCTGCCCTATGGAACCAAGATCGGAATCCCCCAATACGCCGTCCACCGCGACAGCGACCTCTACCCCAACCCCGACGAATACAATCCTTACCGTTTCTACCAACCCACCGCCACTCCTTCCGAGCTCCGCGAGAACTCAATGACGAATACCAGCGAATCCTACGTGGTCTTCGGCCACGGCCGCCGCCAATGCCCCGGCCGGTGGATCTTCTCCCACATGTTCAAACTCCTCATCGCCGAGATGCTTCTCAAATACGAAATCAAACCCTTCCCTACACGGCCGAAGATTCATCGTGAGTGTTTTACCTTCGATATCATGATTGTGTACTAACAGTGTCAGGCTGGGGACGCTTCCAACTACCGCCCCTGTCGACGAAACTGACCGTCCGACGCAGAAAAGACACTGCATCTCTCTCTTCCTCTCCTCTCCGTGCTTAGAATCATAAGCGCCCCTCCATTCTCTGTACTTATTTCTTTTCTTGCATTTTCTAGCGATCTCTGTATAGATATACCTAATGAGCCTTGCTTGGCTATGATACCATGGGAGGCTAAGTCGTTAATTTATGCGAACAATCAGCGGTTTGTTGAGATCATTGAATACAAGCAGTATCAGCATATCTTTGTCTCTGCCTGAAAGTCTTACGGTTGGCAAGTGGAGAAGTCGGTCTCGATGTATATATTTCCCATACTGCTTCCAAACGCCACCGCTCCACTGGCAGGGAACATGTCAACTCTCAATCAAGGGTTTACCGATGAAATGCGACCTTCGTCTTCGATGTGAGGTGTAGTTCTGGAAGCATGAGTAGTAGAAGCCCTTGGCTGCACTGCGACACCCGGATTCCGCGAGAATGTACAATGGTCATATAGTTCTATACTTGGTAATGTAAGCACTAAAATAAAACCTTGCAGGGGCCCGCCACCAACAACCCTGTCATGCAGGAGATCGACTTGGACATTGCCTAGTCCAGGGCGATGGTGCAGCAGGGTCTCGGAGGTTTCCTGTCGATCGCCATGCAATAAAGAACTCCAACGTCCACTAATCAGCAAGCAGAATGGGTCCACCGATTAAACCCCGGCTGGCTGCTACTAGACGATAGACATTCTAAACAGTGCCGAGACCGAGTTGATTCAAGCGCAAGTCCAAGCCGGTTCCGAGTCCTGCGTGAGGATCTACAAAGGTCCTACAAGGTCTCTCCTGCGTCTTCTGTATTATCATCCAATATGTCTTTAAAGTGGCGCCATCTTGACTGCTCTCGCCTTCATCAATCGCGGGGACGATGTGCGCGTCTTCGAGAGGCAGCCAGAATGCACGCTCGTCAGTCTCATCGACAGTTACAAGCTTACCAACGATGAGCTTCAGCCCATTCAAATCGCGGTCGCGGTCTTGTTGAAGAGCTGTCTGTCGGATACCCTGGACACTCTTCTCGACCGATTCGATAAGCATTCTGGCAGGAACATGGCTTCTGCGTGTCTGGTTGCGAATGTCTTTCCGGCTTTGCTTGACCCTGCTTGGAAGGTAAACGAAGTCCGCTGTCTCAATGGCTCGATGAGGTGCGAGCCGGTTACGTTGCAGGACGTCTTGCATCAAAATCAGTCATGATCAAGGTGTATGACAATGCGGAAAGCGCAACGTGATTGATACTCCGAACGCGATCGGGATGTGTAGATGACTTCAGGTCAGTGTCCAAATGACAGCGTCCCCACTCGAAGGTCGCTCGAGCAGCTGGTAGACGACGCCAAGGAACTCATCTGCAATCTTATAGCTCGCCATGATTTAACTCCTGTTCCAGGCCAAGGTTCTTTGCGGCACTCTCGAGACAGCCGGTCACGACATTCCACGCTACTCGGCCGTTGGTCGGATGGTCCAGGTCGTGTGTCTTCTGGCAAGCAAAAAGGGCGATTTGTAGGTTGTTGAAGCTGTAACGGCAAATGAAAGTGACTTGGTGACTGCCGCCATCGGAGAGATTGGGAGGCGAGAAAGAATCAGCGGCTCATCTGGGGATTCAGGAAGCACCTTTTTGATATTCCACGGTCCACTGTAGACATCATAGATACCCCAAGAAACACCCATTGATCAGATTATGCCAACCTCCTCCTGGACCTTCACTTCAGCAGTTCTCGGGGCCATATCTCACCCATCACCATGGCATTGCTCTGCCAAACTGGGGCTACGGTGAGGGTCAAAGTATCTCCTGCCCTTAGGTATCATCTCTGGTGCGTGTTGGTTTAGATTGCGGCGATACGACGGTCAAGTAGCGGCCGAGAAGGTGGTCGAGGCTGAGGCTGAGGCTGAAGCTAATGCGAAGAGATGAAGAGATGAAGAGATGAAGAGAAGACAGTCCCTTGTATTGGCCCTTTTGTGGATTAGTCATTGCCTATAAGAGTCAGTGTGATCATCCCCGCATCTCAGCCCACTGCGTCATCGCATCCTCCATCTCCACATCCACAATTCATCAACAACCTCAGATAAAATGGCCAGCGACAACAAGGCTTCCGATGACTTGCCTTCAGTCGAGACGCAGCAACAGGTCGCCGATTACAAGCTCCTCGACCGCCAAGGCAACGAGCTTCCGTTCCGCGACATCTACAGTGCGACCGACAGGACGCTGGTCATCTTCGTCCGCCATTTCTTCTGTGGAGTCTGTTCCCCGACAATACCTTATGTCCCCGACTAACCCTGCATAGAGCTGTCAAGAATACCTTCAACGTTTGTCAGACACCATCACCCAGGACGTCTTGTCCAGTCTGCCCACCAGCACATCCATCGCGATCATTGGCTGTGGAGACCCCAGTCTGATCGACTATTATGCTGAGTATACTCGCTGTCCATACCCAATGTACTGCGATCCATCGCGCAAGCTCTACGATACCCTGGGCATGATCTCCAGCTGGGAAGTCGGTCCTCAGCCCGGGTACATCTCCAAGGGCATCCCTCGTTTGGTGGTAGAAGGCATCTGGCAGGGTTTGAGGCAGATCTGGAGCGGGAAAATATTCAAAGCCGGCCCTGGAGAGCAGCAAGGCGGCGAGTTTCTTTTTGAACCCACTGAGGACGGCGACAAGCGCGTCACTTGGTGCCATCGTATGCAGGGCTCGTGGGGCCACACTGAGATACCGGTCCTAGTTGATCTTGTCCACGGGCGCAAAGTGGACGAAGCCTCATCAACAAAGTAGAATGGCGGTCCGCAGGAATGGAAGCCTTTGTTTGTGCTTGATTTATCGTTTGGCGCTCATACTGACAGACTGAGATGAGAATATAACCCTTTCCACACCTCTACTTTACCACCATGGAATTAACCTGGTGAATATCACAGTGAGCTTCTGCCTGAAGTTACCCCCTCGCTGTACTTCTTACTGGTATAAGCCTGACGAGCATTGGAGCGTAATCCCTAACAGTGTACACCCTCGCATTCGCTCTCCACTGCTCTAAATCCGACACCGCTTCGACGTCAAAGTTGTAGAGAAGCTTGCAGATAATTAGTCGACTGACAAGCTGTGCCATCCTATACATAATTTGTAAGCAAGGGTTCCGTAACCAATAGCTGGACAGACGTACTCTAGCCCAATGCAGTTCCGCTGGCCAAACCAAAATGGCTGATACGCTGCTCTGTTGTCTTTGGAAAACTCAGCGCCAGAGCCCTCCAACCACCGTTCAGGGCAAAACAAGTCGGGCTGGTGGAAGTTGGCAGAGAACTGGGTGGACGCTAGGATAGTCACATAGACTCTAGTCCCCCCAGGGACCCAGCGGCCAGCGATCACGGCCCCTGATTCAGGCACAGCGCGAGGAAGTGCCCCGGGGGTTGGTGGATGCAATCGCAGCGATTCTTTGACACAGGCGTCGAGATACGGGAGCTTAGAGACAGACGTGAATGTGATATCGGATGGTTTGTCGAATGCAGATCGAACCTCGCCGGTGAGGCGTCTGAGCGCTGCACCGTCGGTTAATAGAGACGCCGTGAGCGCCGCCAGGAGCGAGCTCATGGTTTCTATCCCAGCGAGCATGATGAGATGGGCATTTGCGCGGATATCGCGGTCGTTCAGGTCAGCCCTCCTAGCTTCTCAAAAGGCGAGACCAACAAGATCCGGTCCATGGGTTTTGTCGCTCATCAGCTGCTTGTCAATTCGTTTGTTTGATGGTTTGAAGAACGCCCTCCGAGCTGGCCGGGTTAGCGATGAAGAGCCTGGTCCAGGTCAAGTCAGCGAGCGCCGCGAGACTTGTGGCAAACTTGGCCATCGCAGCCTGACTATCGGCCCACCAAGTGTGAGAGCTTGTTTCAAGCAATCCCAGGGACTCGCCGTACTGCAGGTGGCCGACCATGTCGAACAGAATGTGATAGAAGAACGTGAAATGTCCACGAGGGCTTTCTACGTCTGCCGTAGTTTTCCATAGCGAGATCGGTGTATTTGACATAAAGCGGCTCCTGTTCGCCCAGTGCTCGTCGTGAGAATACCGGGGCGTAGGCTTGGCGAACACGAAGATGCTCGTCGTCGGTGCTGGTGAGAAACGAAGGGCGGTTGTCTTCGTCCTCGAACTGTTCGAAGAGGCCGGGATCGCGCTGCATTTCCGATGGAAGCCCTGGCAGATTCCCGTAGATGTCATTCCATGCCCGGGAATCAGCATAGCTCAGCCCGTCGGGGGCGACCCTGACCATCTCATGAAGCCGATGCACCCAGATCGCCGACTTTCCGATTAAGGTGACATGGGTGATTGGGAGCCGAGAGGCCGCAGCGTATCGGGTCCGGGGTACGTCTTGAGCGGGTGGATGTAGAGATTGTGCACTGCAGCGGCCAGGTAGTACTGCGAGCGTCAGGCATGAATGAGATAAAAGTCCGAAATAAACTGACCGAAACCACAATGATGGCCAAGGCAATCAACAGGCTTAGGGTGGAATTGCCGGCGGGCGGCGGCGATGGCCTCTTTCTGGCTAGAGGTGAAGCCGGTGGTGCTGTAGTCTACTAATCCAGGATCTTGGAAGTCATTCTGGTCTTGAGATAGATTGTCAGTTGTCACTAACCGAGAAAAGTCGAAGCCGTCTCCACGTGGATACCAGACAGTTAGGGTTGTACAATTTACCGTAAAGAATAATTCCTTACCCAAAATTGCTGACCGAGGTTCATTCATTACTGACGAAGTAATGAATCACGTGACAT